GGAGGATGGAGCCACGCACTGCTGTGTCTCTGCCACTGAATTATGAATTTTGCTGCACAAACACGAACATTTCTCATATCAGAAGCACTGATAGGAGTCACCGGTTCGGCACTGCGAATAAATATTTCTGATATTTATTTAGATCGATAAAGCTTATTGGAAAACTAACAAATTATTTAAAATTTAGATTATATTTAATAGAAAACAATTAATATTAAAATTATAAACTAGATAATTTTATGCCTGAATTGAACTTTAATGAGAATATTGGCTTATTCTCAGTGCACCGATTGGCTGAATACAATAACCTGGGCCATCGGCTTGCAGCTCGCTTTAAAGCTGGCAGCCAAGCCTCTTACGGGTGCCACAGACAAACAGTTTAGAGTTGGGGCAACGGTTCTCCGTCTCCATAGAGTTGCGTTCGCTGTCTCTGCCTGCAGTGCAGTCAATAAAAATAAATGTCATAAGGAGGAGCTTAGGCGACAAATGCATCAGTGTGCAAATAGACCAGCTGCAGGAGGAGATGGAGCAAGTGGAGCCGCTCCTGTCCACTTTCAACGCTTTGAGCTGACAAACAAACAGACAAAGAGCCATCGGGAATCGGATGCCAATGGAGAAAGCCTTTCGCTTGACATTTGCTGTTTGGTCAGCTGTCCAAAAGGGTGGTGATGATGTTGCCTTTCGGATCCATATGGACATAGGGACGAAGTCAATTTGGTATGCAACGACTAATCAAGATGTTGCCACTTTAATGCAAACTCAATTTTCTTCTACTGGCTGTAAGAAAGGTGTCGCAGTCTTATGCCCCACACACACCGCCAGCTGCAGTAGCAGCAATCATAATCATCAGGCCTTTCCTGAGGCGCCTCTATACATACTAATGATGTGCATGCCACACGAGGCTGATTTAATTTCCTTTCCACCTGCAGCACACACATGCAACGGACACCACCGCAAGTCTCAACACTTAAAGGAGCCACAAAAGTCAACACGAGGAGAAAACGGAGCGAAACTTTTCCCGTCCACATATATCGGGGCACTTACACTGCGGAAAATTGCATGAAAAGTGTGATTTATTACCTTTGGAAAATGGCATTTTATGGCTAGACGTTAAATTATAAAATATTATAATTATTAAACATACTGTAGTAAAGGAAATATTCATGCAATCTCCTTTAATCATTTATATAAAGTAATAATAATAAAAAATTACACTATATAGTCTTAGTGCTTAGTGTAAGTATGTGCGAGTTTGGGGGTTTTGCATCAAACTTTAACATAAACTTGGATGTCGCTTCCGTTTCCGCTGCAAGAGCTGCAGACGATGACAAGCACCCATTCCATCTACACACACATACGACCATACATACACCTTCTCTAAATGTTCTTCTCACAAGTTTTTGCATAGTAGTGTGAGTGAGAGAGTGTGTGTGTCTGTGCTAGTGCTGCGGTTTGTAGGTGTAGGTGCGCCGTGTAACTGTAGGCAGCCATCATTTTTGTTGCTGCTGTAATCCAGCATAAAAAATGAATTATGTGCACATGCATTTCTTATGTGCTCTCGCAGCCGCACTCTTATTACTTCCTTTTCTGCCGAAGAAGGCAAAAAGGCTCATGGTAATGCCCCACCCCGCCGCTTCCTTGTAAGCTGTTGAGTAATGAGCAAATGAAATCCCCACGCTTATCTCAGCGCTGCTTTGTGCCCGCTTTGTGTGTCTGTGTGTGTGGCTCAGAAATCTACTTAAGGCCTAAGCTCTGCTCTTGGCTCTGCCCCTCTAAGAATCATCCTTATACCAATCCGCCGAGTCACATTTTTCGCATTTGATAAATTCTAGTGATTGCTGGGTATAAGTTTTATATAGATTCTGTCTATCGCTGCGGCATTAGTGTCACAATTATCCAGATAAAGGCAGACCAACCTTCGCCTTGACAAATCGTTTCGCATATGAAGGCTATTAGTTGGCCAAGTCAATCCACTATTAATGGCCTATAAGAAATCAATAAGCCAACGTTAAATCATCGAAAATCATAGCTCAAAATAGCAGCAACCACAAAATGGGAAACCCCATTAACAAATGTTTTCTTTCCGAAAAAATCGTACATGGGAAAACTCTTTCATTTCCATTGAATGCCATACCATTTGCCTAATGCAAGGCCATAAAAATATCAATGCGGCGTATGAGTAATAACACAGGCAAACTAATTTAGAGGCTTTTAGTCTCCATTTAGAATCTATTCACTTATATATATAAGAGAGAGAGTCGGAACTATTGAAAATGATTCTCCATATAGATACGTGTGGATTTTCACACATTCACCCAACACCAAATAGAATGATTCCTTTGATGCGAAAACTAAATGAAAATCTAAACAAATTTCGGTGCGATTTTCGTGTGGCCATTTTTTTAGTATTTTTCTGTGGACATTCGAGCGTATGAGCCGCAGTCAACTTTTGACAAGAAAAACTGCTCTCAAAATCAATAAATCACACTAGATCGTAAAATGCGGGGTGTTATGCAGGAGGGGCTTAGATTGCCGCTAAGCCAAAACTAAAATCCCACGATTGGTGGGAAAATTGGCGGGGAAAGGCGACAGGGGGCTGCTTGGCAACATATTGTTTCAATATTTGAATTCAATTTAATGGCAGCTAATTGAAAAAACAGCACAGCGCCAGTGTGGCAACAATAATGCACTGCCCGAGTTTGTCCAGCGATTGGGTCACCCATTTTTGTTTTTTATCCTCAGCTTTTGTGCAACAATGGCAACGGTTTTTTGCCAATTGGCCATTGAACACGCTCCACTGGGTCATCATGGCACTGGTGGCACCACTGGCACACCAGTTGCCATCACGTGTTTGTCCCTATCCCGGGAGTTGAGTTATTTGCACGTTTTGATAAGTGGACTTAACAACCGCCAGAGGAATGGGCCAAAAACCATTGTGAGCGGGTGAAAAGCGACATCAGGCTAAAAGAAAAAAGAAATGATTTTTTGCCAATTTCTCCTTTCACTCTGCTGGTCACGATGCATTTTGCATGGAAAATGTAAATTCATATTTGCCCATAAATGACAGAAATGTTTATGTTGATAGCCATTCGGCTGTTCATGGCCTTAAAATGGAAAATTGAGGAAATAAAAAGGAAATCGCAGTGAAATCCCTCATAGCGACGATGGAGTAAGTGGATAATAGTTTCATTCAAATCGAGTATATCCTTGACTAATGAATTAAAAACTTTGTTATCCTCTTAATTTTAATAACAAATATACAGCTGAAAATGTGGCAACAAACTAGCTAATTTTTAATGATTTTATAATGGCATTTTGTTAATATATAATTATTTTTCAATTAGTATTTGTACAAAGCTATCATATATATTGGTAATCACCTACCACAAATGCATCAGAGTAATTCGGTAATATTCACGACCCTTATCAGCCACACTAGACTTAGTTACGTTATTGGCCATTAGCTAATTTGTTATTGATTTATCATAAATGATATTATTTAATTATTCGTCGGTTTGCCACACAGTTGCAGGCCAATTTGGAATCGTTGTCGGGCCGAGGATAATTTGCATGGCGCCAGGATAACCGTGACAGTATCAGTAATTGACTTCACCTGATATAATCTTCGACCTGGCCATGGGATTTCGGGATAGACATATAGGCGGACACACATATATAAACATGATAATAAACGTGACCATGTTTAGGGACGCCTTAAATTATGCAATATGACAGCGTGAGATATTGAAAGACTTTTCCAACCTTACTTGCTGTTGTAACTGTTGCTATTTGGAAATCGCCCAAAACGTGACCAGAAATTAAATTGTAGCACATTTGGAGCTTTATAAAAATTTCACAAAAATGAAAAATAAATCCCCAAAAAGAGCCGCAGCGCACAGAGCAAAGTAGAAAAAATAAAGAACACAAAATAAATAAGGAAATAAACCTTGCACACACACACACACACACACAGACACACAGGAAAATATGTCTCGTTCGGGGTTAGGGAAATTGACAGGGTCTACGCTCTCTGGTCCCTGGTTTGAATTGGGGATTTCTGGGCCACAAAAAATACGTTTTAATAAATTTTATGCACGCGGCCTTCTCAAACAATAACTATGCAGGTGTGGTCGGAGTCCGTCAAAAATGAAAATATTATGTGAGAAACGCCCACATCCTGTCCCAAGCTCGTCTCTTTCTTCCGTCCATCATCCTTTCACAGGACACGCTCCAGCGCATAAATTGCTAATATTGTTGAGTGCGTACACACACACACACACACAGGCACACATCATGGGAAAACTGCATTAGATGCCATCAAACGGTTTTGTTGTCCACTGCCTCCAGAAGAAGGAGCTTTTCCCCTTTTTTCTCATTTTCTTGCTCCACTTTTCTCCAAACGCCAAACTCGAAATTGTAAAAAAATATTACACCATCAGCAAACGAAACGAACTTAGGAATCGAAGTAGCAGGTACCCTAGAAATACGGCATAAGTACTTGAAAGTAATATAAGTTAAGGATACTTTCAGATTTACCCATGATTTGTATTAATATTAAAGGCTGTCCTTTCTTTATAACATAACATATTTTTCGATTTTTTGTTTCATTTAATCAAAGATGAGTTCAAAAGCATTTCTACATCCTTTTCCAAGGAAAATCGAGTTCTCCTTAACTTAGAGCATAACAAGCAGTGAAAACTCATAAGCGCAACTTGTGTGCAGTGAAGTGTAAAATGTACTCTGCAATTTTCTTTTGTAGCAACATATTTTCTCGCTCTCCAGTGGAGCCGTAGAATTGCCTTTTCAGTGGGAGCTCGCTACTCGCTGCTCGCTAAAAAGATTACTACGTTTTTTCCCCTATGTCGTGGCAGCAATGGACATGTGGATATGCGTGTGGAGCTCGTGCCTCCGCATAATTAAGTTCGCGTTGAGCCTTTGAAAGCATTGTATGGGCCACATAGAGAGGGGATTAGGAATTGAGGTTTCTTCTCTGGTCATCCCTATTGGACATACATCGTCCGCAGCAAGGCAAAGAACTTGTATGATATTTGAAGCAGCTGAAAAAGTGGACTCCATTCAAATATATAAGTTTAGGTCTTATATGGGTTCTATCTTACATCTGTCATGGTGGATCTGGTTATATCCAAGAAGATAGTGGCCTTCAGAAAGGTTACATTCTGCGCTCGAGATATTATGATAACCAAGGCTCGTTTATAGCGTACATCAGCATGGTTCCAGTTTTGATTATAAGTAGCCACCGATAAGCCATAGCTCTATGAAAATAAACTTATTAAAAAACCTTTTTTAAACCCAAACTTACTGCATCGGCCACCATCTGCCCGTAATGACAAATCAAGTAGGCCTGACTCATCGACGAGAACAGGAACAAGAACAGCTTGATAACCATGTCCGGTGGAACGCCAACAGTCATCTGGAAGCCCACAAAACAGATGACAAACGAGGACACCATAAAGTTAAGAAGTAAGGGAACCCCGAATATATCGTTGACCACATCTGCCAGGCGAAGTATCCTCTCGTGATACTTAACAATATCTGCCATAAAGCGAGAATCCTCCTCCCAGTTCCCACTCAGCTCGTGGTATTCCATGGTATTTGAGAGATAATCAAAGTGCATGACCACCTGAGTAGCCACGGCGCAGAGTAACAGATCCGTGGAGATTTGTCCAGCAGCTGCAGTATATCCTGCGAAATTCTGGGAGAAGAGCAGAGGGTAATACGACCAGCTATCCTCCCATATCCAGGGAATGTACATAAGATAGGGCAACGTTTTGCCTACCACTCGAATCTTAAGCCACTTCTCATAGATCCAATATTCCATAATGCTAAACAAGTTGAAAGTCCAGATGAGAACCGAATACAGCGAGGAGTAGGTGAGACTGATCCTTGAGCAGGTGCCAAGATACTTGGGCAAATTATATTTTTCCTCTTCGATTTTACCCCTTGGATAGATCTCCTCCAACTCTTTCATCATTTCAGTCATGGCAGACTTCTTTCCTCGAATGAAAAACATCTTGCTCATGCCCACAATCACGAATCCAATGTAAGACATCACAGTGACGGCTTCCAGGAGCTTTTTATCATTGTAAGCAATGTAAACATAAATGCTCTCAGAAGTTGCAACATAGGTCAAGTTGATTACATTAGCCATAAACACAATTCGGGCTATTAGCTTGTCCTTATCAGTTTCTCCAGTTTTGGCATATGGTTGTATTCCTACACCAGTGTAGAAGAAGTTGGCGAACTTCAAGAACTTTTCCATCTTTGAGTTTTCGCGAACCTATCCAAACAGTTGTACCTTTTTAAATGAATTTCTCACAGAAGGTTCAGTGGTTTTATAGCCAAATCAAATGTGATTAATATGGTATTAGATTATAATAACTGACTATTAATTTGTGGGTAATGCTTATGTGTTGAGGGACAAGGTTGGCAAGCGTCTGCGTGTTTGGCCCTAACAGGTGCAACGATTCAAGGTCATACCATATGCTTATATGAAGAAGTCCTGGAATTTTATCAACTGCTGAAAAATACTTATTACAGATTCTACTTTGATTGCTAAACCCATATATATTTCTTTTCAATTTTTAATAAGAATACATATTTTTCTAAGTAACTAAATAAAAAATTGCTTACTTAATATACATGGTACGGAGTAGAGCAAAAAACTTGTAGGATATTTGAAGAAGCTGTAAAAATGTAAATATTCATTATTGTTTAAAGATCAAATCAAACTATACCATCTCTCACATCAGTCATAGTGGCCCTTGTTATGTTCATGAACACTGTTGCCTTCAAATAGGTTGTCCTTTGGGGTCGAGCTATAAAGAAAACCAGAGCCCGACGGTAGCGAATATCTGCATTATGCCAGTTCTGTCTGTAGGCTGCGATTGATAAGCCAGAGCTCTAGAAATATTTTAATTTAATATATAAATAAATAAATAATTTTATAATATAAACCCCTACCGCATCAGCAATCAACTGCCCATAGTGACATATCAAGTACACCTGGCACATCGACGAGAAAAGGAACAAGAAGAGCTTAATCATGAGGTCCGGCGGGACCCCCACTGTCATTTGGAAACCCACAAAACAGATGACAAAGGTAGAGACCATGAAATTCAGGAGAAGTGGTATCCCAAATATATCATTAAGGACATCCATCAGTCGAAGGATACGCTGGTGATATCGAACAGTTTTCGTCAAAAATCTCGAATTTTCTTCCCAGTCCTTAGATAATTCTTCATTTTCCACAACTCTTGCTAAATGGTCAAAATGCATCACAATCTGAGTAGCCACTGCACAGAGTAAAAGATCCGTTGAGATCTGACCCGATGCTGAGGTATGTCCTGCAAAGTTCTGACAAAATAGCAGGAGGTAATATAACCAATTTCCCTCCCAGTTCCAGGGAAAATACATCAGATATGGTAATGTCTGGCCGACCACTCGGATTTTTAGCCACTTTTCATAGACGAGGAATTGCATGATGCTAAACAGATTGAAGGTCCAGATAAGCACTGAGTAGAGTAGCGCATAGGTAATACTAATCCGAGAACAAGATTTTAAGTATCTTTCCAACTGATATGTTTCCTCTTGAGCTTTGCCCTCTGGATATATGCCCTCTAGTTCCTTGACCATATTACTAAGATCGGGTTTCTTCCACCAGATAAAGAACATCTTGCTCATGCCCACGATCACGAATCCGATATAGGACATGACAGTGACGGCGTCGATTAACTTTCCATCGGAAAAGGCTACTCCTAGGTAGAGGACTTCTCCAAAGACAATCACACTTAAGTTTATCACATTGGCCCAGAAGAGGAGGTTGGACCACAAACTGATTTTCTGGGGCTTTGACACTTTTGTATATGGCTCAATGCCCACTGAAGTGTAAAAGAAGACTGCGTACTTCATGAACTTCATTTTCCAACGTCCAACTAATCGAATAAATGTTAAGCAGAGTTCTTTTATAGACTCGAACACGCAGTATTTGTTATGCCAAGTAATGACATAATTATAGAACTGTTTACAGTTAATGTATAGATTCGGGTTTATAATGCGACTAATTCAGGGCTTCGTTCGCTACTTAATTATTGATTTCGTTTACATAAACAGTGGATAATTGTTATGCCTAGGCAAACGCAATCACGATTCCCATCCTAGTCCCCCTCCCCAAGGGTCGCCCCACTCCCTCATCCTTCTCCATGGGTATTCCGGGCAACACAATAAATCACTCGAAGATTGAATCCGACGGAAAGCAATTGAAACGTTCGAATAAATGCAATTCGAAAGCGAATCGGAACCAACGCATCAAACCCAAGTCCAATCCCTGGGAAAGTGAAGTCTCTTTTCGCTCGCACTTGAAATAAATTAAATCTTTTCAGTTTTCAACAATCTAAGCTTAGACCAGAGCGAGAGCATATAAACAGAATGAATTACGCCCGCAGAACACGTTAGCCCAATTATACGGCGCAGTCTGGGTAAAACAACCACAGTAAATCCCGTCAAGACAGCCAATTTTAATCGTTATCTAACGATACAGTCAATATAGCTGCTATTGAAAGAAAACTTAAAGATTTTCTTAATTTAGAAATTAAACTTAAAAACGAGTGGTTTGCCATCTTTCTTTCTCTTTGCTTAGATAGGCATTCAAGTTCATTAAATCCAACTTCTCACTTCAAAATCTCTTTAAAAATCATATTCGCGACTTTAAAAAACGAAACCTTGTCTAGGTTTCACTGTACGAATATGCATAAGTCTAACCGATTAGATCCCAAAACCAGCTATGTGCGTTGCCCTACAAAACTATGCCACGCAAAAGCAAACATGGCGATTACATGCGAAGAAAAAAGTGGGTGGATATGGTGGGTCTCGGCAAATGACCCCACAACTGGCCAAAAGAGATTTTTGGGCCAAATTGAAAGACAAAAGCCCTGAAATGTTGCTTCCAGCGCGGACAGCGAATCGCAGAGCTAAAAGCGAACGAATTTTCCATTTTTGCCATTTATCACGCATGGAAATTGAAGTGCGCGGGGAAGGGAAAAAGAGTGGGCGGAATGGGCGTAACAGACAACTACAACCTGGAACTTGAAATACAATTAAAGCTCTGGGACCCACTGGCCAGCCAGCCAGTCAGGCGCAAAAAACTTTTCATGTCTCAAGTTTCGGATCTCAGGTGAAGAACCATGTAGGGTAACAAGGTTTCCGGTGAGTGTTCGCCCCACACTGTACAGTATATCCTCCCACCAATATATCCACCCATCGAAGGCAAGCCAAAAGTTATTATATGCACACATACCCCCGAAAGTTTACCCAAACCCTCAGGATGGCAGTGGGCATGGACTCATGGTATAGGGATGGATGTGGGCAGTCAGCGCAAACTTCGTGGAAAAGTTTTATGAGCAGCAAACTAATTTCGTTTGACTTTGCTTCGGGGATATTGCACCTTGGGTGGAACGACGGGAATTGATTTTGGTCCTGTTGACGCCACTGTTGTTCCTCCCCAGGTAGACACATTTGCATATGAAAGCCTGGTGTGGGAATTCATCAAAATTTCTATCACCTATTGACATTGCTTAACAAGAGAACATAAGTAACTCGATGTTATCTGTTTTTAGGTGTATTACACACAAACTACACAAAAGTATCAAATTTAATGAATTTTTAACTTCCTTAAGTTTTGATATTATAAACTTTAAATGCCTTCTTTAATACCTAAAGTTGCTCTATGACTTTACATCATCCTACAATCGTTTTTAAAATGGAATATATTTCATCTGACTGACTGAAATTTCCAAAGACATGTTAAAAGGGAAACTAAAAAGCCAGAAAGAGAGTAAAAAACATAAGACGAACATAATCCATTGTTAATTTTACATTTTCCAACAACTTCCGACCGACAAGTACGTACATATCTGGCTGGCATTGCGGCTATTGTCTCTCGGTTTTCTTGGCTGTGTGACATTTGACACATTCACTCCTCTGCGAACATGTGTGGCTTTGCCCGAAGAAAACAAAAGAGGTCATTGGTTGGGTTTGGGATTGGGGTTTGGGGTTTTTTGAGGGGGCAGATGTCTGTTTTGGCACTCGTTCGTTAGCAGAAGCCGCAAAATTTATATTTTGAAGTGAAGTCAGTGTGGTCTTGGCCACACTTTTTGGGTTGAGTATGGGAAAAGTGGTAAATGAAGAGGGCCTTTACCATTATCGTTTTGAGGCTGACTCTTTTGGTCAGAAAGTCTTCCCACAGCTATTGATGATTTCTAGACCGAGGGTATATTGTTTTGGGCCAGGCCAAAATGGCAGGTTTTCTGGGTTAACCAACTTGTGATCGAAGGGGAATAGGGGAAGAAATAAACGAATGGAAACAATTAATAAAATAACAACTTTGTGCAAAATTAATTGTGTATTATGCAAAAGGCTTGCTAATGGCAGGATATGCATCAACGTACGCTGCTGGTCGCCATGAAATATTACAGTGACGACAATGTCTCCTCCGGCCGTAGATCCTTTCCCCTTGACTCTACTGTTTCTGTAATGGCCGTGCGCACCAATGAGCAAATGAACAATTTATTACCGCTTAATTGAACACATTTGGACGCAACCACACACATAGAGGGCCTAAACAAATGGCCACATGCAGGCGGCATCCTGAACAGGACCTTCGCATTAAGCAGCGCCGTGGGGGCTTTCGGTGCTAGTTTGTGGACCAGGATAAATGAGCCCAAGACAAGTCTATAAATGCTGGAGAACTGGTGGAGGCATTGGGGTAAGAGTAGGAGTTGGAGTTGGACGCCTGTGTGGTCAAGCAACTCAATGAAGCCCAAACCCAAACCAAATCCCAAGCTGTGGATTCGGAAAATCCGTTCCTTGGAGCTCGCTGCATATTAAACGCACGGCTCGCTGGACAAATTGATTCCTAAGTGGCTGCCGGATTGACAGCTCACAAGGTCCTTGTGTGTGTGTGTGTGTATACTTGCCCTATTCCCCGCTGGCAATTTCCACAATTATCCTGCACTCGACCTGCAACCTGCAACCTGGACACCGGACTGCCAAGGCTAATTGCCAATTGAACCCCAAAGAAAGCGGAGCAACTTTAGATTAGCAGCAACAATAGGGACTTTGCCTTTTAAGTGCTTACTTAGCGACACGTCAGAAACAAGGATTTATTTGGGGGAGGATATTCCTGGGATACTCGGGGACACCCCTAAACACCTCAGGTAAATTAAGTGAGTGCCAGGTCCTGACAGAGTCAAGTATATTTGATATACACGGCACTCCACCACGAAAAGCAACACCACGCTTAAGCCCAAGCGAATCACACAAAGCAGCCGCAATTTCGCTAAGCATTTTCAGCGGGGAAACAGCAGAAGTGAAGCTACGCAACGACCACAAAGGAAGCGAAAGGATCTGGAACGGCCCCATCACCTCATCTGTTTAGGCCTTATACGGAATGAACTACTTAAGCGCTTTTGGCTTTTCAAAATAAGCCATGCCACAGGTAAATGGCAAGAGAAACAGCAGTGGGAGCAGCCACAAACAATAACGAAATATTTTGTATATCCGCTGTGCCTTGTCAACCGCACCGAAAGAGCTTCACTACACTGAGGGAAAATATCTACAAACTTAAGAAAATTATGGTATTACTTAAAATATGTATTATGTTAAGCTCTTATGTACATATGTTCAAGCTATAATTAAGTAAAAAAGTTATCCAAATTGTATAATTAAATAAATAATGCATTAATATTTCTGCCAGTGCATGCGTAAATGAAAAGAAGCCGGAGCAGGATGAGGAGTAAAAGGACGCTGAAATTGGAAGTGGAACAAGTGCTCAGCCAGAGACATGCACAGATACACTTTATGAACTACAACCGAAATCCAATTGATTGCACAGACTAGAGTCTTTGGCAGAGTCTACAATTTGGCAGTCCAAGTGCTTTGGTAGTCAGGTGGTCTGAGTTGATTGTGGCACGAATTGTGGCCTCAGAGGTCACCACAGGATTCGCAAATGAAAATTTGAGCCACGCGTGGGTGGCAGGCCGCAAACGGAGACTGGTAGTCAGATCCCGGTGGAATCTACAGCTTAACAGGATAATTTTCAGCCAATTAAATTTCACTCTAGATAGAAAATGTTGTTTTAATGGGAATATAAATAGGTCTGATGGTAATTTATCAGCAAAGTTTGTTTGTTTTTTTAGGTCAAAAAATTATAGTGCTATACGCTTTCAGTCGTGATTATAGAGATTTAATAATAAATAATACGGAAAAGGTATTAAAAATTTGTATTTGTTACTTAAAATAAAAATGTAATCAAAACCAATGATTTCTCATTACTATCTTCAAAAGTACAGAATCGCATCGGATCGAATTATAATGTTAATCAAAAGGCTATATTGGTAAACAAAACAAACACGTTACCTTATAAAATACATGAAAGGCCAATGTATTTTCAAATGATTTTAAATTCGCGCCTGCTGAAGACTATCGAAAGCTAAATGCTGCAGAACTCACGACCATGTGCAGCCGATAACCTCAAGATATATCGATAGACAGACGGCCGAAGTGGGCAACCATCAGTTCTCTTGTTATTGTTTACAAAGCATATCGATAACCAAGAAATATCAATTCGCAGCTGCTGCTGCATGTTTTTTTCGTCAAAAACAGCCGCCGCATCCGTTACACAAAGAAAAAGATACGAAAAACGTAGTTCTTGAGGAAGATTCCTTCCTCTTCCGGCGTCGTGCCACACAGATGGCGCCATACACGAACTCAGGCAGTGTTTTAAACGCCGCCCAACCACTTGTTGTTTTTGGACTCTGCCCGTCCCATATAATACCATCCATTATCCACAATACTCTCGGACGACTTTGCATCCGATGGTGATAGGAACAAAATCCGGAATCGGGGCATTCAGGGTCACTACACTCACATCTGAACTCCAGACGTCGTCGTCGCTTAACTGTCATAAATTGTCAAATAGTTTCGGAGCACGGATTCGTCACAATCTCATTCGGAATACGTATAATAACAACATATTGAATTAACCATATCTCAAATCAAGTTGCAAACAAACCGGTGATTAGCCAGTGATCAGTTTATTGCCGCCATCAAGTGTCTAGTAGTTGAAAAGCGTAAGTACCTCTCTACAGTTCGATAATGCAGATTACCTGAGCCTTGTGCTCCGCTCTCCCCTCTCACAGTACAGGGTGTTATTCACAGCTCTCAGTAAGATTTGCAAATCATCTCGACCCCACGGTTACTGACCTTCACCTTCATCCATATATCGCATGCAAATTGCTCGGGTCGAGAGATAACACTTTCTGGCAGGTGGTTCGATTTTAAGGGCCACTTCAAAAAAATATGAGTAGTTTTAGCGGCTGCCTGTAATCTAAAGTGGGTTGGGTTATTCAAAAAGTCCCCCTTGACACCCTGGGTTGAAAAACTATTAGAGCTTGTTCTGTATACTTTTATATACTTGCATATTCATCTCTTCTGAATATTCCCAATATTCCATAATCAAATCGGGCTAAAGTAGTACATATGTTCTTAGATGTACCTATACCTTTGTTCATGCCGTTGACAAATCCTCCGCAACGGCTAATCTAAAATGTATCTTATCAATAGACAGCAGTAAATTGCCACAGATACCTGCCGAACACCTGTAATCCACTAATATAACCCAACGTTCCAGGTTTTGCCTTTATGGGAATTTCAGTTCTGGCCTGGCCAGCAGCAGTTTCAGTCCTCCTTCACGGAATTAATAAATTTTTGTATTTATACATACAAAAACCAAAACATTTTAGATCTATTTCAAGTTCAGTGGAACAACCGATAACGTCAAAAGAAGAACAATAACAGCTTGTACGCTTGTCGATAAGAACACAAGAATAAAGGTTAAAAAACGGACTCGGACCCGGCCACCCCATACGCAGTGACTAACCAGTGAACTGATTCCACCCACTCAATATATATATTTTTTAATTTAATTAAATGGACTTAAACATCATTTATATCACCCAAAAATCATAATTATTCAATTATTAGAAACACACAAGGGAAGCCTTGTTTCTTTTGGTGTAATTTCTTATCAAAAGCAAATGACAACATTGTCTTATCTGATATAATTAACTAATAAAAGTGGTGTATATATACATTTAATTTATAATTGTATACTAATGTTTAAAGATATTACCCTGCCTGGCAGGTTTTCTAACCTTTTATAAACCCGTTTTGCCATCTTGTAAATAATAAACAATTTTAAATCTGGAAATATGTTTAATTAAAAGTAAAATACTTTCTTTCAGATCCACATTCCAAGATGGCTGGTCAAAGCAAACTGGTCAATCCACTGTGCATCACCTGCAAGGACTTCCAGCATCCATGGACAGACCACTGCGTTAGTGCTACCGCCGGTATCTTGCTATCGGCCACGCCCTACTGCCTAAGGGTTTATACAGTGGTCTACGCCCTATCCCTGCTTATGCGCCACCGCATTCCCAGTCGTGAGGATCTGCGCAGGACACTTCTGGGCATTATCCAATCGACAGCTTTTCTGGTGACCAATGCTTACACTTTCATCCTATACAACTGTGCACTGCGGAACATATTGGGAACCTATCACTTCTCTACGGTAGCTTTTATACCCTGCTTTTTCGCCTCATTCTCGGCGATATTGGTAGAGCGACCTGCTCGACGGCCACTACTCACTCTATATGTGGCCAATGTGGCAACGGAAACGCTTTGGAAGATGGCAGAGGCGAGGGGATGGGTGCGCTCCGTTCCAAATGGACAGACATTGATCTTTGGACTGAGCATAGCAGCTCTGCTGTATCTTTATCGTACTGGCACTTCCAAAGATTCCATCTTTAACATACTTCGCATCTTTGTGGGCAAAGAAGAAGCAGGACCAGTAGAAAAGTCCGGTCCTGTAGTACCCGGCGAGCAGCCTGCTCCAGACCGTCATCGCCCTACCGTAAGCTTCTCCACTGTCTCCGACTGGGTGCGCGTTTATAGCAACCTAATTCGCGCCAAACATGACAGCTGCCGGCACCAGCAGAGCTGCATGGGTTACGCCTTGATCGGTGGAATTAAACCATTCGTCGGCGGTGTGGCTCTGCAGGTGGCCCTCAAAATGGTCATGAACATCAAGAGGATCACCGCTGGAAAGATGCCATGGAAGAAGCTGGTCTTCACCCGAGGCACTTTGAAGCTGGGCATATTCATGGGCAGCTTTTCCTTCCTATACAAGGTATGTTTTTTGACATTTGAAAACCACAGACAATAATGATGTTGCTTTTAAAAGTCGGTGTCCTGTCTGCTTCGGCACAGTTTCAACCGCGATGATGCCAAATTCGCCATTCCTGCGGCGTTAATTGCTTCTGTGACCTTCACTCAGTATCCGGATAACACGGTGGCCTTGTATGTCATGTGGAAGGCGCTTCAGGTGAGTATATTATAATCTCTGCATATATTGAAGGTATTTAACTTGTGTATCCTCAGATCCTTTGCACAAAAGGCCAAGAACTAGGAATCGTACCACACATCCCACACTTCATGCTGTTCTTATACTCATTCTTCACGGCTGTGCTCTTCCATGCGGGAATCTTGGAGCCCAAGAGCCTGCGTCCTAGCTACTACAAGTTTCTGCAGGCCATCTCAGGCGATCGGTAAGCAAAGGTCACACGCGCTGCGTAAGCAATAGATTAAGAATCCCTTATCTTTGACAGACTAAGCAGGTTTAATCTGAGCGCATTCGATGTATTTGGCCTGGGCAGTCAGCAACAGGCGCTGGACACCATTAAAGCGTTAAAAATTGTGGAGAAGTCTGCGCTACCCGCCTACTCATTCGCCTCCTGAGCCGGCGGCAATAGCCAATTTTATTAGGTGATCAATAAGTCGCCAGAGGCCCCATTATATCTCTATATATCCACGTTTTACAACGAGTTGTACATACGTCAAGAGTCTCCGCGCTCAAAGAGCGCACAACGATTACTAAACTAAGCTAGTAAGGGTGAATTGTAAATTATGTTGACCGTTTTTTATGTCTTGGTATCAATAAAACATCTTCAAAATATAAACTAAAGAACATCAATTTCTTTCATAGATAGATTGTGAAATTCGGAACTACTTTAAAATTTTAAAAGCTTCTAGATTTCGGACTAGCTATTTAAGAGAATCAATAAAGCTTCATAGAAATTGACATGCTTTTTCGGGTGAGAGCCCGAAAAGTTTGATAAGAAACCCCTTTCGGTGATTCAGCGTAAACAAACCATAAAAGTCGTCTGGCTTATATGCGATTAGCAGTTCATAACACCCTATGCAGTAGCATATCATGGAGATTGGAAATAAAATGGTTAGCCAGTAGTTGAGATGGTGTCCAATTCAACTTCAGTCAGTTGGATTTCATGGCTCATCAGGTTCAAACGTATGGCGAAATTCGAACTTGGTGGATTACCCAGTGGCAGTTAAACATTGGAATGGTGAGGCAAAACTAAATTGATATCAACTGAACTGATAGTAAACTACTTCCAGATTAAGCACTGACATTCTTTAAATAACACTACTGCATATGCAAATAATCTGAGTTAAGGGTTGAGTTTAAGTGGCTACTACCGGGTCTCCGATTACCTTTATCAACTGTCTACATTCGATAAGCGCACCCTGCGAAGTCCATTTCATATTCGTATATTCATATTGGATCATGGCAGCACAGAGCAAACTCGCTGAAGTCGCATTCAATTGCACCTGCCAGGAGTTTGTCCATCCTTGGACTTCAAGCTGCGCTTGCGCGACTGCTGGGATGTTGCTGTCTTTAATTCCTGGAACTTTTCGAACCTATAGTATGGTTTATATGGTTAGTATTTAAATTTTCCCATTTTTACGTAATAAATTATATATTTTACCTTTCACAGTTGGCACTGATTATGCGTATGAAAGTTCCGTCAATCAAAGATCTCGGACGGACTGCAACCAGTATTTTACAGTCCACCGCTTTTCTTTCTCTAAATGGGAGTCTTTTTGTCTTTGCCATTTGCGTGGTGCGACAGTTTCTGGGTGGTTTCTACTTCAGCACTGCTGCCTGGATTCCAGCGCTATTGGTTAGCTCCATATCATTGGCAATGGAGCGCCCAGAGCGACGTGCTCCGCTGGCCATGTATGTGGCCAATGTGGGCATCGAAACGCTCTGGAAAATGATGGAGTCCAGAGGTCTTGTAAAATCCATTCCCAATGGACAAGTGCTCATCATGGGCTTCAGTCTTACCGCTTTAATGTACCTATATCGGGCCGGATTGCATAAGACTGTGACTAAGGATGGTACCTTCAAGGCATTAGGTCTGATTGTCGGCAAGGAGGAGGAGGGTCCCGTGAAGGCTCCAACAGGGAACACCTCGCACACACCCTCCCTGAGAGGACTAAATTTCCGCTGCATCATGTCGTACCTTCAGATCTATGATTTCTTCACAACCGTTAAACATCCCAGTTGTCCACACAAACAAGGCTGTGCTCCTTACGCTCTTATTGGAGGATTGAAGTCATTTCTTGAAGGAGTGGGCCTGTCGGTGGGTATCAAGTTGCTCCTCAACATTCCGAAGATCTTCCAGTTCAAGATGCAGTGGCGAAAACAGATCTTCAACAAGGGATCCCTGCAGTTGGGGATGGCGCTTGGAATCTTTTCACTCCTCTTCAAGGTGAGTCAATACCATGAACCACTTATTATATGTTAATTAATAATATCAACTTTCAGTTAACTTCCTGTGGCTTGCGTCACTCTGCAGGATTTGACGATGCTCTCTTCGCCATACCATCTGGGCTAATCGGATCTCTTGGCCTTCTGTACTTTCCCAACACCACTGTATCCTTGTATTTGATGCTGAAATCCTTGCAACTTCTTTACAACTGGGGTGTCTCTGAGGGAAAAGTTCCCGAGCTGCCAAGCTTTTCCATGATCATGTACGGATTTTTCACAGCCGTTCTCTGCCACTCAACAGTAATTGAGGCGCGATCTATGCGCCCCAGCTACTTTAAGTTCATCGAGAACATTTCGGGAGGGCGCCTGAGCCGGTTTAATCTGAAACCCTTTGAGGCTTTTGGTGTGAAAAGTCAGGATCAGGCCGACTACGTAATCAAGAAACTAGGCATTGTTATGACCTCGCCGAACCCTCTATTTGCACTGGCTGTCTAGAAGTTGACCTTGCAAAGATTTTAAACGATATCTATAACTAGAATTGATTCCAATATCCAATTTCCCTGCCTTGTAAGACGCTAAAATGTATTCCACTAGTCACACATGTAAAAACTTTACTAAATAATGATTTTTCCAGAAAGTTTGTTTCATTACATTTGTTTCATTATTAAGCAGGCTGTTAGAAGTGATATAATATGATTAAATGTATCGAATGCCTTTTTGAAGGGTAACAAATCTAAAGCTGTTTCGAATGGGTGATGTAAACTTTCGAATTATTCAAAGATTTGAAAAGCTATAATAATAATATTATTTAGTACGTGCTTTGTTATTATACATCTGCATTATGTAAACTCTTGTTATTGATTGTACAAGTACTGAGTATGGTTCCTTAAGAGAACTAAGTAAGAGAATTCTAAGAATATGCCGGGTACTCTTTGATATAGATAAGCAATCCCCAGCTGGAAGGTGACGCAGCGTCAACAAACCGATCGCCCATTGAAGCAACTAAGCCAACATTCGGCTCGCGTGTAGGCGATAAGTAAGTGCCTTTGCATCTAACGCACTTCAATCGAACCACTTTTAGGGGAATTTGAGGGAGTGGGCACTGTAGCTGATTACGGCGGAATCAGAATGGAGCTCCTAAAGTGCGTCTACACGGGCACCGTACTTGGCCAAATCGTGGTTGGCAGTCAGTTTTGTTCGATGGCCAAACGGGACAGAACGTGTTTTCCTCGCAGGAAAAAATAATTTTAAATAATTTAATTAGACAAAAATAATCATAAATAATAAAATATCCATTAGGTGAGTATTGCTTTCTTGTAGTAAAGAACATTAAAAAAGTGAAACAAGTGAAATATAATAATCTAAGCCCTTATCTTCATCTTACCCGTTACGAAACCCAATCTTCAGCTGGACCTAAGTGGATGACCAGCAGCAGCTGATTCAAGAAATGCCCAGAAAAACTTACTGGGAACCGAGGAAATTTAAATATATCAAATAAGTAAATATTCTTGCTGACTTGCATTGGGAATAATCAGAGATCCGGAAAGCCAAAGTTAAATAGGGCATTAAGAGCATTGCGTGGCACGTTTGGACTTTCGGCGATAAGCCCCTTCGACGATAAGCTTTATCATCATCCAAGAGCCAATTCGATAATCATAGACCCCTGAGCATAAGTCAATATTCAAAGTGGATCATGGCAACCCAAAGTAAACTGGCCGAGATAGCCTTGAACTGCACCTGTTTTGAGTATCACCACCCATGGACCAAGAGCTGTGCCTGTGCGGCGGCGGGCATGATGCTCTCCGAGATCCCTCCCAGTCTGCGCACCTACGCCACTGTTTACGTGGTAAGTAAGAAAGGGGAAACATAACGCTAAAAATACCTAGAATTCCCCACCTGCTTCAAGTGTGTTGTATAAATAGAGATATAGTTAATACGAAGTTTTAAGTACAAAGGTTATATTTATAAAAAAAATTATTCGCTTTGATTATACCAAAAATTGACTACCATTTGACCAAGAAATCAAAGAAATATACACCATCTTTTTAATTATATTTAATAATAATATTTTCTATTCAATCTGATACCAATTAAAACTTTCTCTTTAAATCCTTTTCCAGTTGGCTCTGATCATGAGAGGACGCGTTCCTTCGCTGAAGGATCTCAAACGCACAGGAGCTGGTATCCTGCAGTCGACAGCGTTTCTTTCCATGAATGGTGGCCTCTTCGTGTTCGCCGTCTGCCAATTGCGTAGGCTCTTGGGTGGATTCTACTTCAGCACAGTGGCATGGTTGCCCTCATTCTTGGCCAGCTTTGCCTGCCTTGCCTTCGAACGTCCAGAGCGACGTGCTCCACTGGCCTTGTATGTGGCCAATGTGGGCATAGAGACGCTCTGGAAGATGTTGGAGGCCAGAGGTCTAGTACGATCCATTCCCAATGGACAGGTACTCATCATGGGCCTTAGTGTCACATCGTTGATGTATCTTTATCGGACAGGACTACACAAAACAGTGGCCAAAGATCCGACCTTCAAGGCTTTGGGTCTGATCCTCGGTAAGGAGGAGGAGGGTCCGTTGAAGTCACCGGTGGTGACTACTTCGCAGAGCTCTCGAACGGCTCCCATCAACTTCCGATGCATTTCGTCGTATGTGCAGCTCTATGATCGTCTTCTGAAGGCCAAACATCCGAGTTGTCCACATAAACAGGGCTGTGTACCAAATGCTGTTATCGGAGGATTGAAACCCTTCCTTGGGGGTGTGGGCCTGTCGGTGGGCCTCAAGCTGCTGCTCAACATTCCGAAGATCTTCCAGTTCAGGATGCAGTGGCGCAAGCAGATTTTCAATAAGGGATCGCTACAATTGGGACTGGCGCTGGGCATCTTCTCACTGCTTTTCAAGGTATATTTTTATTTCCAAATTAGTTTATTAGCAGTCTAACATTATCTCTTTGATATAGTAAAGCATAATTTTTTTATTAGTTTTCAATTTTATTTCCAAAGGCATATCTTATCATTCTCTATTTGCTTTTCCAGACAACTTCCTGTGGTCTAAGGCACACCTTTGGATTTGACGATGCTCTCTTTGCCATTCCGGCTGGCTTGATTGGATCCGTGGGTCTTCTGCGATTCCCCAACACCACAGTGGCCTGTTATCTGATGTGGAAAGCCCTACAACTCTTCTACAACTGGGGCATCGCGGAGGGAAAACTACCCGAGGTGCCGCACTTCTCGATGCTCATGTACGGATTCTTCACGGCCGTGCTCTTCCACTCTGCAATTCTGGAGGCTCGTTCTCTGCGTCCCAGTTACTACAAGTTCCTCATGGGCATCTCGGGCAATCGCATCAGTCGCTTCAATGTAAAACCCTTCGAGGCCTATGGACTGAAGAGCCAAGATCAGATCAACTATGTGATCAAGAAACTGGGCATTGACATGACCTCACCCTTCCCTCTTGTAGCCCTGACTGTCTAGATTGTTTATGACTTTGCTTCACTGTACCATAAAAAAAACCAAAAAATACAATAAATGTAGAACACAACAATGCAGCAAAACTTTAAATTAAATGCGCGACGCAGAATGGCCATTAAGGACTTTTAAGTGAGGAGCCACAGAGTGGGCCAACATCAATCACAGAGTCAACAAGCCGCTGGCACCCTTAAAACCCCCATACCCCCCTCCCCACTCCCTTTAAAAACAAAACCCTCTCAACCGCTGAGCCACTGCCTCACCGCTGTGACAACTCTAGACGGCGGCTCCGCGTTGCTCAATTATTTACATTTATATGTCATATAAATTTATTGCCCACCATAACTCAGCCGGTCCGAGGCGAACTGGGCTGAGTGGGGCTTTGAGCTGAGACCAAGTGGAGATACCCGAAATGCAGCTACAAATTCACTAAAAATAAAAATAATAATAAAGCACAAAGCGAATGAATAAAATACGAGTATTTTTCTCAAGAGAGTCGAGGCTTCAGATACCCCTTCATTATTATATAAAGAAATATATTCGAGTTTCATTTTTTAAATGATTGTAAAAAAGTCCTCCATCATCTTTGCAATGCATCAGTTAAATATGAAAAATCCTTTTAGATTACAAAAATCCTTTCAAAGTAAAGTTACCCAATACTCTCTCCTCAAAAGTACAAAATGAACATCTTTCCCTGCTGCACCCTTTTCAGAATAATTCCTGACCACCCCAAAAAACCAGGGTATATAATAAGCTCCGTTCGTCCTTGGCCCCCCTCCTAATGATCATCTTGGCCAGCAATGGAAGCGGAACTCCAACTGCCAGTGGAACCGAAACCAAGGCGGGCTTAACAAATGAATTATAGGCTCGGGTAAATTTAATGTGCCACTTAGTTATCGGTGGAGGGATGAGCGGAGGTCCTGGCCTTTATTTTTATGCGAATCATAATAAGGCACGCCAGCTAAGCGACTTCCTTCCGCTTCCTGAGCCTGACCCGTCGCTGTTTGTCTTTGGTGATTTTCATTTTTAAATTGAGTTGAAAATAATGAAAATGCAAATTCGCCCTGGCCAGCTGCTGCTGTTTGGACACGATTCCTTGGTCTTTGGCCATCGTTGGGCCATCCTGCAATTGCAGGCTCCTTGGCATTTATGAAATTTATATGCATGTCAGTGGGCCTTCAGGCCAGCTTCAGACTTCGTGGCAATAGAAGGAGGGAGGAGAAGCGTCTTCTAGCCCAGTCAACAGCATGGAAAATACAAATGAAGCCAGTGACAAATCTCATTAATCACAGCGCCCCGTAAAAGAGGCGGTCTTTGGAAGGAGGGTAGAGGGGCGTGGCTCTGCCTGAGTGGGTGCAGCTGTTGGCGCCTTGAAATCTGGGATTATCAGCTTAGCAGTTGCAGTTGTTTCTGTTGTTTCCACAGCTCCTACTTGTTGTTCCTGCTCCTTCTCTAGGAGATGGTGTTGCAAAAAGTGCATATAAATTGAATATTATAAATTTTCTTATTTTGCAACTGCTGCTTTCACTTAGCTGCTGCTTCTTCTGCTGTTGCTGCCAAGTTGTAACTTCATTTAAGTCAATCGCTCTTTTCTGCGGCACACAAATTGTAAACAAGGGAATTATGCAAATGAATAAACTCCCGCCCCATTGGCAACATAATGAAATATTATTGAAGCCTGAAAGCCTGCAGCTCGCCTGGGCAAATCGAACAGAAAATTAACTTTCAACTGTCAAAAAAAAGGTGAAATGGAAAAAGCAGCTAAAGAAAAAAGTAAAAAAAAAGAAAAGCAGTGCAAACTGCTAGGAAGAGCAGAACTTTTCACTACTTGGCCAAGACTTTCGACTTGCCATAAATTTCGTTTTATATTTTCTATGAACTGACAAGGTATGTCAACGCAAGATAAGCAACCCCAAGCTGTCCAAATGCTGCCCCAAATAAATGACACTTTTTTGTGCATCCGTAGGAGAGATGAATTTTTAATTAAAATTTGCAGTCGTGTTGTGCGAAGATTGAATGGTAAATGCTGCTCTACAATGCTGGACAACCTAGAGATGCATAATAAATAAATGAAATTTCTTAAAACTCAGAATGCATTAACCCATTTTTGTTTCCAACAAATCTTGTTTTGTCTAAGCCCGATAGCTTTAGCTTTAACATAATGCCATGCCATTTGGTTTTTCGTCAATCTAAAGTTAAATGAAAGTATTATCTTTGTGAGATTAAGTTTGTATTTGTTTTATCTACAGTGTCTTGAACCTTTTAGGTCGCAATAAATACCCAACAACCAGTATTTTGTTTGCAGAGATGTGTAAATTGCACTGTTCATATAAGAAATACAGATTTCATCAGCTTTACTTTGTTTTATTAATATTGATGTAGATATTTGTTTACTTGCTATAAACCGGCCCGACAAACACAAGTTATTTGTATTTCACAGATAAGGGTATAAATAACTACTACTAGTATTACTAATATTAATTATTAATTAGGCAGTATTGCTTGCAACTGGTTGGTGTGTAAATAATTTAATTTAAATTTCTCAAAATGCAAACATTCGTATGCTAATGGCTCCCAGCGTGCACTCGCCCTCGAACTCGCGCTCCTCGTCCTCGATTTGTCTCTGTCGCACCAGGGATAGTGGTACAAAATCCTTAAGGAACTCCAAGGCAGCATTTATGACGGCCAACTGAATCCAGATCAGCGAAAGGCATAAGCCAGCACCACCGTCAAAGGGAGACGTCATACCGCTGAAGAGTTTGTAAAACAACTGCGATGTGTACGATGTGGGATCGGTGGGATCAGGCACGAGTAGAACCCCCCCTAACCCCGTCGAAAACGTGCCGGTGCCAACGTGATAAGGGGCCGAAACAAATTACCTCCAGGCGATAAGAATTATTTTTTGAGTCTCAACATTTCAATGTTGCGCAACATTTTCAGATTATGTTGCTGGGAATTCCACTCAAATCGTTCGAACATCGAACCTCTGCGGCAGCGTTTCAATGTTGGTTCGTTTCGAATTAATCATATTCATAGTCCTTCGGCTGTCGGTGTTCGTGTGCATTCCCAACAGGATGCGCATTGTGCCAGGACACATGTGGCCTCTCTCCGCGGTGTGTTTCGCTACCACTTGTTCCTCGGCTAACTGGGTTAGTGGTACAAGTTCAGTTTGACGCATTCGCCTTATCGATGGTTCCGCTGCCGCACGTTCCGCTCATTCGGCAGGGATATGTGCATCGGTATGGTTGCGCGCATTATCCTTTTGCCGGGCTAGCTCTGGACTAACGTAACCACCTAGCGTGTCCTCTCATGCACCCGCTTTTCCTCAAAGGAAACATCGACTTCATCAACGAAGCGACTCCTTATCCCGCTTTTTTGCGCTTCATTGCTTTCTACAGCCGCCATTTTCCCGCGCACATCCTTAATTGAAACTACATCGTTTACCTACTTGTAAGCCATCCTATCTGCAGTTTCTCTCCGCCACGGTCTTTGTCCTTATCTCTTTGCCTTTTGGAGCCTTTGTTTGTTTTCACCACGACATATATAGCCACCTTTATCTTTGATAGGGGTGGGGTGGTTAGGGGAAGGCGAATGCATCATTTGGCGTTGACAGGGGGCACTCCCATCGCTTATTGGCAAAGGCTGCTTGGGCTTCCTGGGATCCATCTCAGTGACGCCTTTGTTCTGTTCATCCTTGCCAGCCTCCGCCTCACTGTTACTACCAAAAAACGATTCCTTTGTTATGCCAGCCGCTCGACGACAATTGCACTTGCTGATTGCCCTCATTTCAGACTTGAAATAATATTAAAAACTTTTACTCCGTCTCGCCGACGTACTGCACTCCGTCCGTCTCTTTCTCAGCCCATATCCCCTTTCTCTTTCTCAGCCCATTACCCCTCTCTGTCCGTATATCCCTATCTCACATAGTGCGGTTCTTTTGTCTTTGCCTTTGCCTATGCTGCCTGCTGCTTGTTGCAATTGCAGCCGTCGCATGTTGCAGCCTGAGTCGAGGCCCCTATCCCTATATCCCTATAACCATATCCCCATAGCTCGTCTTTGACTCCCGAGCTTGTTCTAGTTCTTGTTCTTGTCCTTCTTTTATTTACCACATAAATCACATGCCGGCAGGGACGGAAAGACATTTCTATATCTATCTACTTAAGGTTTTCACTGCCCCGACTGGCAGCACTTCCTTCTTAGGCACTGGAAGAAAATTCACAGAACTTTAAAGATTATACAACTTCAAAGCCTTTGTAAGGCCATTTCTGTACTCAGTTAATAAACAATTTTTAAAAACTCTTAAAAAACAACCTGGTAAAGAATGAAACCATTTCATGGTTTTAAATTGGGTTAAAAGTCTGCCAGAGAAACAAATTTATTAAAATGTTAATCTTTTGTGGGTGAAAAAGAGTCTGACAGTGTGAAGTATTAATATTAACACTTTTTCACTATAAATTTAAATGAAATTGGCAAAAAATGTAATCCCAATTTTGTATTTTAACAAAAACTTAAAACTGCCAATGCAATTTGTATAATTAAACTGAAAGGCTTTCATCATTTTCATAATTTACAAGCTTTAGTTGGCTTTCGCTGGCCTTTCTCTGCAGTGCACTGTTTGTCCTTCTGCTTTCTTCTCAGCTGGCGCTGCTTATCTCCTGTTCTCGACTTCGTCCTAGTCTCAGTGTGGCCGAGTGCTTTTTGGATTGTTAGTTGCTATTTTTACGATTGCCCATTGTCTGGACGGAGTTCCAAGTTCCTCCCCAGACTTCTCCAGTGCCCTTCTTCATACTATCTGTGTTCCTCTCTGCTGCTTTTTCGGGATGCGATAGGACACGTATCCGCTTTTGGCGATTCCTTGGCAATTGCAGTTGTTGTAACTGAGAAATCCTCGTGCGTGGGTCGAAGCTGGCTAGCTGGCTGGCTGGCTTTTTTGTCGGGTAATTGATGATTTACAACTTATTTACGCTTCGATTGTGCAATAATTGAAAATTGCTCTAAATTCATTTGGGCATTCCTTGGGAAATATTCTCGATGTTTTGCCATTGGCAACGAAAATGCCAATTGGCCTGGGATGAATGCTGGTAGCTAAGCTGGTCAACTTTTGTGAATTTAATACACCTGGAAAAGGGAAAGTTTTGGAAAATGTCATGAAGTATAAAGTCTTTTACTACTTTAATCATTTAATCTTATTAAAAATAATCTATAGAAAAGTTTAATACTTAAGCTTATTGATTTAGTTATTTAAAGTTTTCAGCTTCTTTTATCAACAAAATAAATTAAGTTTTCTGTAAATATAATCTTTTTTACATCTCCCCTTGAAAGTATAGTCTTTTGGCAGAGTGTAATTAATCTAGTTGCCGCATATTAAGCTTCCTAAAACACATGGCTGCTGCCGCCCCGATATGCAGCGTAGAAAATGGGAAATGCAAACGGCCAGCGAGCGGATTAAGCCGTTGCAACACAAAGGAACCAGAAGTTGCAGCTGCAGCAGCTGCGGTAAAAACGTCTGGCAGGCGGACAAAAGCGAAATGTTGATCCTGGGGCGGACAGAAAGCGCCAGAACGATATGGCCAGGAGAAGCTGGGGGGCTGGGTGTCTTGGCATTGAGCCACCGCTACCACCGACACAGACACATGGTGAAGGTTTAGGGGAAAATGCAACGATCCTGGCCAGCACTGCCTTTAATTTCAATTTGAAGCAAATGAACCAGCAGTAGTTCAGCAGCACCACCAGCAGCTGCAGTAGCATCAGTTCAGGCAAATTTCACAGGGCTGGCTTTTTCACTTTAACGGCTTTCGACTTGACTGCGGCTGCCAGGAAAATGTGGCTATAATTTGCGGCAACATATGCCCCTAGCCTGTGGCAGCTGGCAACTGCCACTCCGTACGCCCAATTGGCTACAAAATGGGCGCCCGCACAAGGAATCGTAAATTAATTGCAGCCTCAAAGTTTCTTTGTTGCACTTTAAGCTCCACAGCCGGACGGCCTCCAATTATGTCATTAGACAAGGTCCAGATGGGTGGCCATAAATTGCCACCGAAGCAACCATAAACAACAGTCAGGTACGACAAATGTCGGCCCGACATGAAAATGTTGACAAATTTTTCCCTTCAAAGCCCAATGCCTCGACCGTACAACGGCCATGCGGCGTATACGCAACGTTGACAAACTCTGCTGCAATTCGTCGCCTAGGGAAGCCTCATAAATCCACCCAAGACCAACCCAGCTGCGTTCCTTTTATAGTACTAGTGCCCAACCCAACCCGACCATCTAACCCAGCCCGATCCGTATCTGAATCAATTAATTTACCCGATACGGATGAACCCTGCAAAATTACACTGCTGCCGCAGTAAGCCTGCAATCTGAGTGAGATAGTAACAAGTTGGCTTATTAATGAACGGAAACTGTAAAATCGTAGTTTAATTAATATGCAAGTTAGTCATAGAACATATGAAACTAAATTGTGTAAACATTTTATGACCGAAATGCACATTTAAAACCAGCATTTACAGGCCAAATTGCCTTGCTTTAATAAAAATATGAAAATGAATTTATAAAAGTCACAAATATTTCTATATATAGGTACTGCAAATCTCTGTAGGGAGTATTTTTGAAAGCATAAATATAGAACAAGTATGAATAATACAATTTCTATATTTGAATTTTCTTTGTCAGCTTTTTTTTATTGCCAAGTCGACACCACAATAGGCAAAGCATTTTAAGCTGACCTCGAGAACTTTGATGGAATGACAAATTCCTATTTACAGTTTTATTTCAAGTGCAAAACTTCCTTAAAGCCCACTGACTGTAAACTAAACTTCTGCCAGAGCAACGTTTGGGAAAATATATTTTTTAATGCCCATTCCTTCCTGGTCGATTCTTATGTCGCTATGGGGCAAAAACACACTCCGGGGACTCACTCCTCGTGCGGTCAAAAATAATGCTCGCGGCTCATGCGGCGTGGAGCGAAATGGCTGTGGTGAAAACAGCGGCACTAACAGATGCATTAGCTGCAGAACGGTCAGAACCAGGCCAGAACCCGGCCAGAATGCCATCGGATAGGGACTGAAACTCTGCACATGGCTATTAGATTACGATGCGGCCATTGAGCAAGCAGCTGTCGCCGTCAACCGATGGCAACTTTTGCGCCTTGGCCGGGCTAAAACTCCACGCACGATTGATCCCCCCGAATCCAAATCCGAATCCGAATCCCGAGTTCCGGACCCCATTCCCAATAGCTGCTCATGATATGTGTGAGTTAGAAACCCATCGTTCTCATTCCACTTGGTATTTCCGCTCTAATGATTATCGTTGCGCTCCATTTTGAATGCAATAAAGTCGCGGACCGAAATTAACCCAGTTTATGGATGACTTCGCCTGGACATCACCATCTGCAACGGGCATTTGCATCAATCTGTTTCTCGCTGTCCTTTCGGTTGACTTCATTTTCAGTAACAGTACCAAGTACCTCATGGCGTATACACGATATTCGTACTCAATTCTAACGCTCAACTGATTGTAAGTGGGGGCAGCGGGGATGGGCACTAAACGTTGATTCCACTCCATATCAAATGAAACGGAATCGTTTGCCATGCTGGACGTAATTAAATGTTGCACTTCCGTTCGTGGCGGAAGTTGGAGGCGACGATTTACGGCTTAAACAACGGCTAAGTGCAGCAATCATTGTCGGCCAGCAACAGGAACTGAACGGATCTACAAAAAAAAAATAAACGCAAACGGGTGAAAACACAGCAAATTAAAATTGTCGCACACTTG